TTCATCTACCTCTCTTAGGGTACTTCTGCTTTGAAGACTCTCCGGAGAGTTTTTCTCAACCGGGGGAGAATGATGGGGATCGTATAGGAATTTGATAGATATTTTAGATTAATTATGAGAGTTATTTGGATACTTTTAGTATTTATCTTTTAAATATTTTCTTTTAACTTTTGAGGGTTTATTTGTCATTATTTATGCGTTTTAGGATTTTAGTTTCCCTATACAAAGAGATGAATGTAAGGGTTTTATTTAGATTAGACTTTGATTATTATTGAATACTGATATTACTTCATTCTCAAATTCTTTCTCTTTTCTCATCTTTTTCTTCTTTTCTTCTCATCCCTAATTCTTCTCTTCTTATTCTACATCAATTTGGTATCAGAGCTAATACGATCTACATCAATTTAATATTAGTGCTAATGAGTTAATACGATCTACATCACTAACTCTATTCATTACCTTCACTTCCTCCCTATTATCACCATCTATCTGCCTCTATCCCTCTTATAATTCCAAATGATCGAGGGTATTGTAACTCTAAATATGTTCTGTTAATTGTGCAAACCTTTAGCATTCTAGCACTAAATGAAAACATTAGTTCAATGGGCAAAATCCAAATGTGGTCCTCTCTCCACTCTTGTGCCTCATGTATGTCAATTGTTGGTCATTTTGCTATTTCTGCATGGAGATATGTATACATTAATCGACTCTGTGCTAGGATATCAATTTTGAATCATCAGAAAGTTTGTCGCATGATTCAAGGTCGCGATATTAGTCATCGACTCGGAGAACTCAAAGACACATTGATCACGACGTCTCGATGCATTATCGGATGATACGACTTAAAAAAAAATGTTGAACATGATGAGAGATTCAAATTATACCGTGGTGTCTCGGAATTGTATCGGCCAATTCGGTGATGATAACTCTGCAACTTGAGATTGATTCGGATATAACTCGGCCGAGTCGTGCGAGACTCAGAATTTATACTTCTCGTGTAACGGTATCGTCTCGAAAAGTGTCGAGTCGAATATAACTCAGCCGATTCTTAATCGTATCAGTCATCGACTCGGAGAATTCTGAGACACAGCGGTGACAGCGTCCCGATGCAATATCAGATGATACGACCTAAATAAAAATATTGAACATGACGAGAGATTCAAATCATACCGCGGTGTCTCAAAATCATATCGGTCAATTCGGTGATAATAACTCAGCAACTCAAGATTGACTCAAATATAATTTGGCCAAGTCGTGCGAAACTCGAAATTTATACTTATTGTGTAACGGCATTGTCTCAGAAAGTGTCGAGTCAAATACGACTCAGCCGATTCATATCAATATCAGTCAATACTTTGAACCATGGTTTATCGAGGTAGGCACTGATATTGCTGATCATGGAACATTCTTTGACCTTAACAAATCAACAACTTGTGAACCAAGGTAACAAAAACTACACATCACATTCTACAATTTGATTTTTAGATTGGCCTTGATGGAATATTCTCACTAATTTTTGTGGAAAATAGCAGAATGAGAAGGTTAAAGAGTATTGGTATGATTGAATTGAGTTTTGTTCGTTTTTGCATTTTTGATTCTCTTTTTGGTCGCTATTTTTTTTTGGTCGGTTGCTTTTTTTAATTTCATGAAAAAATGTCAATTTTGTCTGAATTGTTATACTTGATGATGGGTTTGCATTAATCTGAGTATTCTAGATGTGTATCCATTTATAGCTATGGACATCGATTTTTCTGGCTACATTCTTCATTTCATAGAAGTCTAAAGCTCCAATGACTATTATTTATGTATTCTGAAGACCAATGTCGACCTTTGAAGCTGATCCATTTGGACATTAAATTTCATGACCAAAATGGGACACATCCATGTCTGGATTGATGGGTAATGCGTTTGATAATTTAATTTTTCTAAACTTAATCTAGAAGTGGTGGTTGGTGCCAATGGCTCCATCAAGTTTTTAAGCTAAAGTGGCATTGATTTGAAGATGCCTAATGAAAAGGGTATCGATACTAATTGGTTCATTGAGCTACAGATGTCTTGTGGCATTGAGTTCAATGATAATGTGCTTTGAGTGATGTGGTTTTGGGTACTTGGGGTAGCTATTGACCCCTCAAAATCTCCCTAATATAGATGATGGATTTTTCAATTTCATCATGATGTATTTTCCAGACGTCTATGATATAACCTAACGAGGTTCTGCATACAGGCTTCATTGCAGGTTGAAAAAGCTTGTGAAGCTGTGGAAGTTTAAAGGTTTGGTAATTAATTTCTTACAATTTTTAACAAACTAATAAATAATCAAAATATAGTTTAGATCGTCTGAGGTCTATCAACTATTTCTGAGATATGTTGGAAAATTGTATGAAATTGATTAGGAATTGGATATGATCCTAAACAACCCTATTGATTTTAGTTATCTATTTCATTGCTTGTGTTGTGTTCAATGCGAGATTCCCACTTTGTTTGTCCCATTAGATAGCCAAGGAACTGCATCTTTTTATGCCTTTGTTTGGATTATGGATTGGTTGCTTTTAGCACTAATATTCTTATTTTGATGTGGATTACTATTTTGTGAAATGGCCCACACTGGACCATGTAATAATGCATGGGCTAGGAAACTGAGACTACAGGTAAGAAAAAGAAGAAGATAGCAAATCCTAGGCACCCAAATAGGTATAAGAGTGAAAGGGTATGACATCTAACCATCGTGGGCTCTAAAAGATGTCCTCTATTCATTACTCTGAACAATGCCAGCACATTACTTGATTGAATCATGAGACTCATCACCCACTTAAAGGAGGGAAGAGAAAGAAATGCACCGATAAAAAAAGGTCAAGCAACATTTCAATTACTCGCTCGGAACTCAATCGATGACATACCCTCTGGTAACTAAATTTTTGTTAAGATAGAAACAAACCCCATTTGCTTCATTTGAAAGATTATTATAGGATTGAAAATATAGGCAGCCATAGTGAAGTTTATCATCACTACATTTGTGAGGACATAGTATTTTTTTTTTTTTTTGAGAAGTTTGGTAGTATGTTAATAACTTGGTCTTGTCACATGCTTGAAAATTCCGATTCAATCAATTTGCTCAAGGTCATGTATGTGAAACGGCCATTTCAAGGGAAAACTTGGTGCAGACAGGAAGTTCAGGACATTTCTACACTTGATGTTTGTGCGGTTGTGTTTCGTCAACTATTAAAGAATAATGTTTGACTTATTTTCTACAATGCACTGTTAAACAGGTTGAAATATGGTGAAGATTTTTCTTCCCAAGTACCTCCTCTTTTTTACAACAGTGGAGGCCTGGCTATCATGGCCCAGGTGGGCAGATTTCATCTATAAAAGTTAGTTTGTTATTGGTTAGATATCAAAGTATCATGGTTCAAATAAGTAGTAGTTTACCCTAAAGAATGTAAAATTAATTTAACTTGTGTAGCTGACCATCTTATTGTCGGCTCTTCTCTGCCCTCTACCTTTCAATTTTTTAGTGATATTTCAGTAAATAGGTATTATTATGGCAGATTGAAATTTAATCTCCTTCATATTGAAATGATAAGGTAAGTCTGAATCATTTGGTCGCATTAGCCCAACACCACTTTAGAGATGACGTAATTTTGTATGTTGTTTTTGTTTTTATAAATGTCATAATACTGTGTAGACAGATTGCACCATTGGACATAATCCTTTTGAACATGGTAGTTCTCCTGCTTCAGCATGGAACTGAGTAAAACCTCTCTCTTTTATAATACTTTTAATATTTACTTGTCTTGATTCATGTTTTATTTTGTTTCTCCAATTAGTTACTGTGCACAAGACAAACAAAAATCTACAAACCCATATGACAAAATTAAAAAAAAAATATAACTCATGATAATTTACTTGCAACGCACGTGTACCAACTAGTTTGACTAAAAGACAACCACAAGTCATACTTTGACCCATTACAATAAATCGAAAAATTACAAAATAAAAGATACAAAAAACAAAAATTACTAGCAAATTACTCAAAAATAAGACCCACCTAAACTCAAAGACAATTATGTAATGTCCCATATGGGGCTCTAGAGATGGCAACCACATTTCACAGGTTTTAACATCTTTGAATTTGTTTCTCATTAGCCATCTCCAATATGAACTCAAATTTGAGTCAAATTTGAGTAAAAAGTTTGTCTGATATAAAAAAACTCAAATTTAAACGAGAACAAACCTAAATTTTAAATAAAGTAAAATATGATCTAACCATTAGAAATTTAAGTAATGATTTAATTTTCATTTTATTTGAGTAAAATTTGAGTCTTCCTTAGTTTGATATAAGTTTGACTAAAGTACTAGAGCTTGTAAGCCCCTTCACTCAAATTTAAATTTGAGTTAGGATTTAACCAAGGGTTGGAGATGCTCAAATTTAAATTATAGACTGCATCACAGACCTTTTCAGGGCGCTTAGAGCAGCTTTGTTATACCGTAGTCTCTTGCCCCAAAAGAAAAAGAGTAGACTCCTAGCCTGACGTGCACCGGCAAATTATAACACTGGGAATAATGAAAGGGCAGACTCGAACCAGATACAGATCCTCCCAATTTCAAATTTCATCAATTTCGGTTAAGTTTAACCATTTATTGTTAAATTTGTCAAATTTATCGGTTCCAGATAGTGCGTTGCTATGATCCGAGTAACACCCTATGAGACCCCATAATTTTAATTAAAACTTCTTAGATCCATTCTAACTCACGAGCTCTAGCTTCAGTGTAGTGAAGGCATGAACAAAGACGGAATGATTAGATGAGTACCTTGTAGATAGCATCCCAAGGCAAACAACCCAGAAAATCCACTAGAAAACGAGATTTCAAATACCTGCAGACACCAACAGTTCATCACTAGCACAAATAAGCATTAAAGATACTTTAAATGATTTTATAGAAACATGCGTACTGGGTACTTTAAAAATGTTTGGCACAAAGAAGGCTCTCGACAAACTGACCGAATGGCGATTAGGTTGTGATTGTAGACCATGCGGTAAGAATGGGCGTCGCGGTAGGCAACGAAGAAATGAACAACGATGTCGATGAGGAAAGCGAATTGTCCGGCGATGTCGAGGAGGAATATGTTCTCTGGCACTCCTCTGAAGAATCCGAACTCCAGCGGTGTGAAGAATGATGAGTACACTGCCCATATCAGAATGAACTGTGTCCATACCAAGTACCACCTGCATTTGATTTGTTGTTTTCAATGCAAATCTGAATCAAGAACCCACAGGGGGTGAGAGAGAGGGAAAATAGAGAGGGGACCCTCAGACATGGCAATTGATAAATGTTTCAATCTCTTAGGTCGGATTCGCGCTGATTAAGAGTAAATTACACTTCATCGGCCAACATTTAATTGAATAAATTACACTTTATTCCCCAAACTATTATTTTTATTTCAATTTACATCTATAATTATAAAATTTCTCACATTACATCCTAAAGTATTAATTTTATTTTATATCACTTTAATAGAAAACGAAAAACTTGAAAATTTACCAAAAGAGAGAGAGAAACCCTAAAACATTTTCCACCAAGTGCTTAATACCACTTTATTTTACCTATTTTGCAACCAAATAATTGCTACAAAGAAAAAGAAGGTCAATTAGACAAAGAAAATTTGAAGTTTAAGAAGGACAAAGTCATGGAAGAGTATTTTTTATTTTTGACCGTCACATGTGCAATAGGTAGTTACTTGTTGACAGTATAGACTACTTACATGTACATTTATCATTAAAAAATTGACAGTTATTATCTATTAGAGTTATATAAAATAAAACTAATACATTAGGATATAATGTGAGAATTTTATAGTTAAGAGTATAAAGTAAAATAAAAATACTATTTCAAGGGAGAAAATATAATTTGCTCTTTAATTAATCACATTGTCTGATATTCATCTGAGTTAGGATAAATTATATTTTGACCCTTTTCGCTATGATACTTTTTTTATTTTACCCCCTTAGTTATTATATTTTTTACACTGCATAATTAATTATGTGATTAATTTCGCATTACCCTAATTATTAACGGCCATGATATATTTAATAAAAAATTATTTCATTTTATCCCCTGAATTATATAATTTTTTTCACTTTACTATGACACTTCAGCAATTTTCATCCAAAAAAAAAAACAAACGTTTGAGATTGGGACAATATGAAATAATAAACTTAGTTAAAGAGATAATGTATAAAATTTAATAATTCAAGTGATAAAATAAAATCGAGTCCATAATTTAGGTGGTCAAAATTTAATTGACCCTTCAAGTTATTTATCATTATAGTTTGTTTGGATTGATGTGTAACCCATGAATTAAAATTGTCAGTCAAATTCACAGTTGTAGTTTTTTTATAAATTAAAAATTTACTAAATAATAAAAAATAATAATAATAATAATAGTGCTCTTATATTTACAAATAGGTATGTCAATGGTATCAGGTCTTTAATGGATTTGCGCCAAAAAAATGCTCCATTTATGTTCAATTCATTTATTAATTCGTGTCTAACGAATCGTGTCATATTAGGTTCGTGTCGTATATGAATTGTGTATAACTGATATATAAATGAATTGTGTCATATTTTTTTTTGATCAATTTCACCCATACTCGATTTGGGTGGGGAACGACCATGACTCCTTTCTTCTCGAAAATTCATACATCTCTTATCAGTATATGGAAGCTATCTCTTGAGCACAAGTTTAGGTTCGACCTCAATGGAAAAATTAAATGGAGCACTTAATAACACATATTCACATGCCAAGAATTACGAGATCACCTATTTTCATTCTGGGATGACAAAGGGATCGTACCATTTGAGTAGTTTTTTTATGTTTTTTCTAGGAAGCCTGGAGAAAGTTGCAATCAATAGGACTTCTCTAATCCTCCCTTCATTAGTCATGTCGTGTCGGGCCCCACCCATTTACAAAATATGTGGTATAAGGAATACTCAAACCCTCTAATTTCGTATCATGTTTACAAGTTGTTTTATATTTTGACATCTCTAATTACAAGAATCCATGTCACTACTTAATAAAAAAATTGACATTTTATTCATAAAATACTAATTAAATATGTTAATCATCTCAATTTCAAGTTATTTAGTTTCAATCTAATTCGATTCATTTATTATTCGTATTAATAGATTGTGTCATTTTCAGGTTCATGTCAAAAAATAATCAACTCATACTTATTAAGTTCGTGTCGAATTTGAGTCATATTGTCGTATCGTGTCAAGTCCAAAATTGCTACGTCTAGCATTATCAATTTTTTCCTCTTTCAAGTGGGAATACACATAAAAGTAGCATTGTTTTTCCACGAGAACCCCTCGCCCACACTCATGTTTATAGGCATAGTTAACTAATTTTGTAAAAAATTATGTTTGAATTAGTTAATAAAAATGGGGAGAGTATTGAATTGATTTTATTTGTGTAGCTATTACTTGAATAAAATAAATGAAATGTGAAAAAAATGTTAAGGTGTATAAAATCAAAAGCATGAATTGAGAGAGCTGAATGAAATCTCTGTGTGTTGGGTGAGTTATGCGCATGTGAGCAAGATGGCAGTAAGCATGGAACTAAGTGGTTCATCAAGCTACAGAGCTAGCCTAGTCCATTGTAATGGAATCTCTTACTTCTCTGGTTTATATTACTTGGAAAAAAAGACAATTACAGTTTTGAGAATACAATTGCACATATCTCTTGGTAAAGGAAGGGTTTGCCTATTTATACACTAAGGTAATGTGGTACTCAAGCAATGATGGTGTGGTCCCTGAGTTTGTTAGAATATATAAAGCAAGATTTGGTCGTTAGAGGATCTCTTCCCTAGGTATGATGTGGCATTCTAGAAGACATGACATGACATTCTATGGGTAGTGACTTTCTGCCTCTTTGAAAATTTAAGGGCATCTTTTTGCATAGTGGACCAATAGTACCCTTGGCGTAAGGCCTTGTAAGTCAAAACTCATCCTCCAGAGTGGTTGTTACAAACTCCCTGATGAATCTCTCGGAGCACATATGGAGTGTCTTCCTATTTTAAGCAGCATAGATATTGAAGTGAGAAACCTCTTTTATACAAGGTTCCATCTGGTATCACTTACTTAGTTTCCTTGCGATGAAGTTTTTGAGCTTCCACCCTCTATGGTGGTAGAATTCTGTGGATTAGTTATTGAACAAGGGGATAAGTCCAACCTCCTTACTGATAAACCACTTTGCCCTCAAGCTCTATTTCCTCTGTGCTAGATCTTTGGAGGAGTTCCATAGGGATCATGCAAGGGAGTTCATTGTGGAAGCAAGAAGCCAGGTGTGCTAGGGAATTTGTGTTATATCAAAATTTCAAAACTAAGCAACATGATTTTTGATCTTGGACAAGTAGGTTGTCATCCTCTCATCCTTGGCTTGATATTCCCCTTGAATTTGTTTTGTCACCAATTGAAATTCCACTGTGGCTTGCAAATCCTTGGCTCCATGAACAACTACTAACCTTAGTCTTGCTAGTAATGCTTCACATTCGGCCTCATTATTTGAGACTTTGAATCCAAATCTTAAAGCATATTTTATCTTGAGTTGATCTGGTGTGACAGGATTAGCCTTAAGCCTTCTCCATCTGCATTGGAGGAGCCACCAATGTAGAGGGTTTAATTATGCTACTCCGAAAAAGATGGACCATCTCCTTCTAGTTCTAGGATTGTGTTTTCCGTATAAAATCTACCAATGTTTTCCCCTTGATAGATGTTCTAGGCTGGTAGACTATGTCAAATTCTCCCCATTCAATGGACCACTTAGCTAGCTTCCTTGATACCTCAAGTCTTTGGAAGACGTGCCTATATGGGGGAATCTATCATGATTACACTGGTATGGCCTTGGAAATAAAGGCGTAGTTTCCTTGCTGTTGTGACCAAGGTTAGGATCACATTTTCCAACTTGAAGTACCTAGTTTTGGCTCCTTTGAGAACCTGGCTAGTGTAATAGATTAGTTGTTGAACTCATTATTCCTCTCTTACTAGGGCAAAACTGGTGCTAGCTTTTGAAATATGAAGTTGAAGACACAATTTATCCTTGAGTATTGCTTAAGCACACTCTGGTGTCCACTCAAAAGCTTTTTTCAATGTCTTAAATAAAGCCAAACATTTATCACTAGCTCTTGAGACAAACCTGTTGAATGCAGCTATCCTTCCCATTAGGAATTGTACTTCCTTAATGTTGTGAGGTTGGCACATGCTAAAAAGAGTCTGGATCTTATCAATATTTACCTTTATCCTCCTTCGGGATACTAAAAAACCCAAGACTTTCTTGAGGATACCCCAAGAGCAAACTTATTGGGTTCAGTTTTATTTGGTTTTTCTTGAGGGTTCTAAAAACGTCATCCAGGTGACCAACTTGTTCTTCCACAATCTGGACCTTAACTAACATGTCATCAACATAGATCTCCATGGTCTTTTGAATCAGATCTTTGAAGATTCAATTGGCCAAGAGTTGGTATGTAGATCCAACATTCTTTAAGCTAAATAGCATCATCTGGTACTGAAACAACCCCTGCTCATTGACGAAAAAGGTCTTCTCTTGATCACCTGGATGCATGCACATTTGGTTATAGCCTAAGGAGGCATACATATATCTTAAGAGCTTGAACCTAGCTATAGGGAAACAATCTTTTGGACTAGCCTTGTTGAGGTTTGTGAAATATATGCAGAGCCTTCATTTCACATTGTGTTTTTTGACCAAAACCATGTTGGGCAATCACTATGGATAATGGACTTCTCTGATAGATGTGGTTTGTAAAAGCTTGTCTACCTCTTTTGTAATTGCTCTAACCATTTTTTTGGTGAATGTTCTCCTTTTTTGTCTGATTGGTTTAAAAGTCGAGTCTACACTAAGCTTGTGGACCATCATATGGGAATCAATTCCAAGCATGTCTTCATGACTCCAAGAGAATAGATCTATGTTGTCACGTAAGAATCTTTCAATTTTTTTTTGAAATAGTGGGGAGCTTAGACTCTACATACGTCCCTTGTTTCTATGTTCAATATTGGTCAAGTGTTGGTTGTAGGTTGGAGAATACCTAACTTTTTAATTAATTAAATAATAATTCTATAAAGTAAGAAAAGCGGTTGGGAAGGGTTATAAATCCCTCTCTTCCAAAAAACAATTGTTACCAAAGGGTTCCCCATGTGATGCATATAATTTATAACTCGTCTTGCTCAGGTTCGTACCTTCTCCCCATTCCAGCCTTCATCTTTTTACATAACATAACATGG